CTTGGAATCGTTGCCAGAGCCTGGATATGTCACTCTGGGCAATTACAAGTTCGTCTGATACTTCCAGTTGGGTACGCCCACATTCCAGACGGCTGATAATTCTACCACGTAAAAAATCATCCAAATACGTTCTTTGTGTCATAACTATTCGGTTATTGCACTGAAATGCTTATAAAGCGCCTGCGAACAATTTTACTTCTTTGCTTGTATTCCTTATATATCCCTCTCTTACACTCTCGTCATTGTGACGTACCATCGGTGTCATCTGGTTACTTCCTGAAATTTGCATATGATTCTTGAAGATGTGTGTAGTGATTTTACAGGTGATATATTTATTTTAGAGTTCGATTTCCGCGTGACTCCGAATTATCCTTAATTTATGGACATGTGTGTAGTATATAAGTTTGAGTGCAATATAATAAAAAAATCTCATAAATTCCAAAATATAACAAAAATTTTAAAAAAAGCCCTTTGAACGATATCAGTTACCATGATTTTAAGTTTTGAATCAAAACTAATCGTGTAAAGAATCCAAGGCATTTCTCCTGACTAAGCTTTTTCTCATAAGTAATTCAAGGCATTTCTGCTCAGTTTTTATGGTGTATTATCAGCACACCCAACTAAAAAATCTTGAAAGTCATAGGTTTTGTTTCATGCAGAGGGCCTCATTCATTTTTCAGAATTTTCTGCTATCATTGTTGAAGTGTCAAACATATTTGTTATGGGGGGGGGCTAAAACTTTTGTAAATACCAACCGCTCTGCTCCAGGAAACGAGCCCAAAATCTTCCAGTTGGCCAATTTGATATGTTCATTATTACATTAGGTAAGTAGAAGGAATGCCTTTAATTCCTTATAATATCCTCTCTTAGTTTTCTCTCAGTTCAATGTTAAAATTATACACCATGTCTACAAAGTCATTACCCGCCCTTTATTCTCACAACCATTTGTCGTAGATAAGTACTTCTAGTTATGAATTTTTTTTTTAAATAATTCGTGTTTGTTATGTGCCTTTTAAGGAGACACAGTAACACACAAGATTTTCCTATCTACTTGACCTATAACCTAATCCAAAAAAAATCGTTTTTGCGTTGTGTATTAACAGGATTAACCCTGAAATAAAACTAAGTAGTGGACTGGTGAAAGACATGAGCACAAATAAGCATACCATTGACTGATCCAGTAGAAATGATTATTTATTTAACTCTTAAGCAATTTATATTTTAGAAAATTTTTAACCAGTTAGGGAGAAATAATTGAATAAAATAAAAGGTATACTTTAACAAAATAAACTCACAATTTTCCTTCAAAACATTCTGCAATATCAAACATTATATTGAATTCATACTGGTAAGCATAATCATTTACATTGTATGATAGAATAACATACCCTCCCCGGGGAGAAAAAAAAGAAAATAATATTTAACAATTTACACTTTGCAAGAGCATTCCACACAGAAGTAAGCATTTATGAACTTAGTTACATAACACAAAATTGATTACTAATTTCTTATTGGCACAGTTTAAATTTTTGAGTTTTGAGATTGAGAAAACAAACCGGAATGATACTAATTTCATATTGAACATTTTAATTTTTGAGTCTTGAGATGAGAGAATAAACCGGGTAAAATATTTAAAAATAAAATCAGGCTTTACATCTTAACAGACAACTTATTCCAACAGCGTAGTAATGAAACCCAATTAATTGCACCTGATATAAAAAATCTTAACGATAAAAAAAGTTTTTTTACTGCTTTAATTAAATTATTTAACTAATAATATATTTCCCTAGCCATTCTAATTAGGTTATCTATAACAAGAAAAAAAACTTCTTAAGTACAGAAGAAATAGTGTATAATAAAATAAATCAACCATTAACTATTGAGAAAAAAATAAAATCACTTAGTTGTCGCTTCTAGGAGGCCTGGTTGGTGAGGTGGTCAAAGAAGAATTTCTTAATTTAACAGGTCACAACTTAAAATCCAGATGGATTGTAGAAAAGTTCCATGAAAACTATTGTCATTGAATTTCTTGAAGTAGAAGCGTCACCAGCATTGACCTCGCTTGAAGAAATTTTAGTTGGAAGAATTCTTGACTCCTTAAGGACTAGGACTGGAGCAGGTTATCGATAATTTTCAGCAATAGCATCCTTGAAGATGGCTCTGCAACAGGTCATCAGTTTTGACGAGATTTTGGTTTAGTCTGAAGATCACTGAGTGTTGGACATAAGCCGTTGTTAAACTATTTCATGTGGGTATTCAGAGCAGATAGAACATTTGAAACTTATGGATAGTAAACGCAGGGGTAAAAAAATTATGCAGATGAAAATAGGGCTGATGAAATTAATTTGTAGCATTTTTCTTTCGAGGGCAAGAGCCCCGTAGATCACGCAGGAGTAACTCCGCCATTTCTTCCTTTTTGCCGGCTCGCAGAGCACGCGCCTCTAATCCCCTGAGAACATCTTAATTCGCGGCTCAAAAGTGTGATAAGCGAAAAAAAAGTCAAAAAGTGTCCTCGTCCCACAAAACAACCCGTTAAAAGGGAGAACGCCGGACTGCCAACTTGGCACAACTCACTCCTCGCCAATAGTTAACCCAGTTGCAACTACAGCATTCCTTCATGTTAGCAACCTCGCCAAAGCCACCACTTTGAAACCCCAGCGGAAATTCTAAGTCGCTAAGCCGTCGCCAAATAACCCCGCCTAGTAAAGGGAGAAAACTTGGAATTTCAACAACCCTGTAAGCAGTCCCAACGAAGGAACGCTGAAACTCGAAAAAGCGACTATTTTACCGGAAAAGGGCACTTCCCCCCCCAAAGGAGAAATCACAAAGAAAACGGAAGAAAAACTATTAATTAAAGCTCATAACTAAAATGCAATTAAAGTTAGGAAAACGAAAGTTATGTCAAATTAAAGAGCTAATTTTTCTGCAACTAATGATATTAAATACTAAGAAATCAAATTAATTTTTAACCTGAAAAACTGAGTTTATTACATAAAAAATTCACCTATATCCATTGTCTGAGTGTACAAGATTGAAGACGCAGTTCGCGTAAACTCGAATAGCCGAAATAGATTACACTAGAATTAATAAGCCAAATAAAAAGAATATAACCAAACTTGTTGTATAGCTCAAATTTTGAATAATTACAAATTAAAATTTTGATTTTTATGAATCACTTAATTATATTAAATTCGCTACACAACATGTTTCTGAGTTTTCAGAGCTTGTCCTAGCGAGGGGTGCGATAGTGCACAACATGTGAGTGACAAATTTAAGGGCAGCGAAATCATTATCAAACATATTATATTTCTGTTAAAAAGAGCGGCAAATTTTAATTTGCACTTGGGAGGTCAACGAATCGTCATTGGCATTTTTTAATTTAAAAAATTTTGCAAATATTACGAAATCTAATTTTTTACATTCTTCCTATCTCTATACTTATATTTAGGAAACGTTTTTGCTCCTTACAAGACATGAAACACCTCTGTAGGACAAATTTGACCTAGATATTAATTTTAAAATCTGCAATTTTTGACACCATATTCAATTTGCACTGAGGCGTCAGTTAGTAAATTATTTAGAATAAATCTTGTTTGATTTTCCCCGTTAAAGACCATTCAGTGATACTGTTTTGGGATTTACTAGTGTCTTTAATTTATAATTTTATTATATTTGGTATGCCGAAAGAAATTGCACACAAATAATTTACAAGTTTTCAAAGTCTAAAAATGCATAATTAATATTCTCATGAAGTTTTATTATTTTATAATCATAATCTGGTAATTGTACAAAAAAATCATTAAAAATACAAATATTTTCATTTTTTAATTAATGCAAATAATATTACGGGTTGGCTACATGCCCATACTGAAGCCTGCTGATGTTTCGAAAAGACAAATTCTATAAGATTCAGTGAATAAGATCTCTTTTTTGAAAAACATTCTATTGCTGAGTATTTTTCACAATGAACTGCATAGAAATTCTCGTCGAATATCATTAGAAATCTTGTTTAAACAATATTTTATTTTTAGTTACGTACAAATGTAAACATGTCTCTCTTCAATTTGTGTACGCCTCTGAATATTGTTCTAGATTTTAATACCGGGTATCTCGATCACTTTTTGCTATACAGGAGTAGGATATTTTGATTTGGAGTAAGATTTTTATAACTAGAATAAAATTTTCTCAAGTATAGGGATAGGCAGAACGTTAGATTTCTTATTTTATATAAAATTATTTTTTATTATTTAAAAATGGGGAAAATGAATCTTTACGTTATTTAAAAACTTTTTGTAATTAGAAGTCTATTTCTACGACCAACGGAAACGCTGACTTAACCTAGACCCTGTGATTCTTTTTAAGAAGGTTCACCAATGATGAGTGTTGCAACACTCATCATGTAGTTGCTTACACTGCAAACCTAGCTCAGATTACAATTATCCTTCATAAAATAATACTGACTTCCTAAGATTCATAAAGCTAATAATGACATTCTAGTGTGAAAATCATTGAAACTTGATTACCTTTTACATGTTATTAGTGTTACAAATAGTACCCATGTTGAATATGTATAAAAACTTCATGAATTTGAATTTTAACAATTCGTGAATGTGTACCGCCTCTATTGAACTTTTTATGATAATCGCGTTTTTTGACACGTTCTGAATCATTTGGCTAGCACAAAAGTTCAAACATATTGAGCGCTTAAGTAATAAGCTTTATAAGCAAAATCCTAAACATATATATTTATGTTTAATTTAATTTTTTTAATTAAAGTGGTACTCAATTTACAAAGTAAATAAGCTGATGATACCTTTCGGTATTCTGCCCACTTTAAGTTTGTTTTATTGAAACTTATGACTGACAAGAGTTTATTGGTTAATTCATTTTGGCCTTAATTTTATGGTTGGGCATATATATAAAAATTAATTTGTTCTTTAGTTTTATTTTATTTCTAATTTAAAGAAATAATAATTGTCTTATCTTTTTTTTCTTTACAGATGTCCATCGATCCTGAAATATTGTTTAAAGTTATCGAGACAAAATTTGCAACTTTAGCTTTCTTCTGACTTTCTGATCAAACACTCAAGAAGTAAGATATCGGACATTTTTGACATTTCTGCCATCTGGAGGGAGCCAAGGATTAACAAAAAAATTACAAAGCTCATCATTACGTGTCCTTCATGAAGAAAGGGCGAAAGAATATTTAAAAGAAGCTTATAGTTTTTCAGTAATCTGCGATTTTGGAAGTGAGATTGAATTATTTATTTAAAACAGACAGCAGAAAGTGGAAGTTTCTTCTGCACAGGCTTTAGATAGAAATTTCACTGAACTTAGAGGTAGATCAGAACAGCAATCGCTTACAATATTTTACAAGATTTTCAAATTATTTTTCATATCTGCGAGAAATTTTTAAAGAGTATCTGATGCATAACCTGACGATTTTCATGTCCAATAACACCGAAAAGTCTTCAAATTTCTTTAATACCTCAGAAATTCTGGTGAGTTTTGTTGAAAAACTAGAAGATGCCGGGCAAAATGAGTCACTTTACTTACTACAAAATACGACGAATGTTTCTGGAATTTATTGGCTTAATGATAATTCTACCAATAATTCTTTCTCTCTTTACAATTTTACGAACAGGATTTACGCCAACATGACATCTCCACTACACGAAATGAATCTTATACAAATGTTGCTCCTCACCATTTTGTTAGGCTTAATTATTTTAGCGACAGTTGTAGGAAATGTATTTGTTATCGCTGCAGTTTTCTTAGAAAGAAATCTCCAAACAGAGGGCAATTATCTTGTTCTTTCCTTGGCTGTTGCTGATTTGATGGTAGCTTGCCTGGTCATGCCCTTGGGAGCTTTTAATGAGGTTAATAACCGAAAATGGATTCTTGGCCCAGAACTCTGCGAAGTCTGGACATCAGGAGATGTTCTCTGTTGTACAGCATCCATCCTTCACCTTGTAGCTATTGCTTTAGATAGATTCTGGGCAGTTACCAGCGTTGACTATGTCAGGCAAAGAAGCGGCCGTAAGATCGGCTTCATGATATTCTTAGTATGGGCGATTGGATTTCTGGTTTCACTTGCTCCTGTCTTTGGCTGGAAAGATGAAAATTTTCTTTACCGAATAGAAGAATTAAAAGAGTAAGTTTCATTTCTTTATTTGCTATATTCTTTAATATATTTCAGCACTTTTAGATTTTACTTTATCTTTCGGCACCTAAGTATTGAAATAATATTTAACAGTGAAATGATAATATTCAGGAAAAAATTCATGTTTCAGTTGTCAGTAACTAGTCTATACCATCTAAAGCTAACAATACAGGACAATGTTTTTTTCCATTACTAAATACAGAATTCGGTTTTATATTATTGATAAGATCGTGGTTTCTTATGAGTGAGGTGAGGGAGGTACATTGCGGCAATTCAAATGAATAACGGAAATCATTTTAAAAAGCTTTAAAAATAATTTTTATTTGATTAACAATAATTTATATGAATTATGAAGCATATCTAATCAGTATTTTACGCTCAGAGAAATAGTCCAGTATATAAAATGTTGCATTTATTTCTCTTCTTAATGTGCTTTGTTTGGCTTATGACACATACTATGATATTTCCTTTCACCCATTTCTTTGAATGTTACTAAAATGTTTATAAATATATTAAAATTTAATGAGTAAAAATGCTCAATTCATCATCATGCAAATGACCAGGTAACATCCAAAGCGACTGACATTTTTTATCTCCATTTTTCTATCTCTCTTCCGAAAGAGAGCAATAGCGGTAACTAGTGAGCTGTACATTTTACTCTCTCCCACTTATGTACAGTACCATTTATTTAGCTTAGTTTAATTCATTCATTATTTGTTATCTGATAAATTCTTCTCTGTTTGCAACTACGTAATGCGGAATAATACTGTTATATGCTGGCCCTAATACTCTGCACCATTACAATTAGCCTTATAAACCATAAAAGAGTTAAAGTAAAGAAATCAAACAGCACAGCATGAATTCTTCCCAACCTTGTTGTCTGACTCTTTGCTGAAAAAATAGAAGGTGATAAATATGATTGTGAGAATTAAACTTGCCTTTTTAATCGGCGACAAGAATGTGCAACATGAATGTGAGCCAGGTTTCCTTAGCAAATCCTTCACGAAGGTATCCCTCTCCTTAGACACCACTACTAAGAGATTTTTAATTTTAAATTGACTATTTTGTATCATATCAGTTAAAAGAAAAGACAGTGGGTCTAAAATAATATTCATTTATACAGACAGGCAACTGTATAATTAAAAATGCTAATGTATTTATTTATCAATAATAAAACAGTGAAAAACAGAGCATGTCAAAGACATTTAAAATTTATTCATTATACCAAGAATTCATTTTGTTAATGAGGCATGATATAAGCACACTATTTGAAAGATGGGTTTATAATTATTGTTTTCCACAAACACTTTCAATGCTGTCGCAAGTTTTCAAGCACTGTTCTTTCTAATTTTAAAAGAGAATTAAACTCATTGGAATTCCTTAAAATTACAGCAACTGCAGAATACTATTCAAATAGGGTGCGTTTAACGTGTTTTATCTTTTTATCAAATTTACTAAAAGAGATGTAGACGAAGTATTTGGAGCTTTGAATTACATTCTTTTACTCTTGATATTTTACAAACAAAAGATAGAATAAATATTCTGTATATTTCGGGAACTGATGCAATGTAAAATTATATTCTGTAGTCTCAAGGAAGACACCTATTTACATACTGTAACATAACTAACAACCTTAAAAGTCTTTATCGTGCTCTGACATAATCCAAATAATCTAGTCTATAAATAATCGCCTACCTACCTGGAGAATTAATTTATTAGGTATTCTCAGACAAATGCATAATTAATGTTGTCTAGAATGTGCACTGAATCTTCTGTATTCTATAGGGGAGCGTATACTATCTATAGTTTTGAGATGACAACCCTGCCACAATGAGCATGCACATATATAGAATACCTACATCCGTAGAGAGCTAGGAACCAATCAATTAGTATACCATAGATCGTGGCCGGTGTGTTCCAGATTTCGGCAGTGAGAGCCTCAATTAATGCAGACTCTGTCATAAATGCTCATTGGGTATGGCAGCATTATTGTGGCCCAAACTGTTGGTGGGGGCCCATTTTCGTTCCAACAGGACGGTGCAACGGCAAACACAGCTATGGCTGTTCCCCGAAATTATTTCATACAGAAGACATAAACGGAACATTATTTTCAGGGTTTAATGATATCTGTTATCGGTGTTATGTACTGCAGTAAATTAAAGCATGACACTTAGCCGACAGCTGATGGCCGACAGGATATTTAGCCGACACGTACACGGACATTTAGCAGCCAGCATATTTAACTGACAAAGGGTAATTTTAGACAAAAACATTCGACAATGCTCTAGTATTTTTTTTATATTTTTCCGGCAACTATTTAATCTAGCAATCAGTTACAAAATGACTCGGATTCACCATAAATTCAACTTTCATGTCATTTTGTCACCTATTAGTAGAATTCATTTTTCAATTCTTAAAGATCCCATCTCTGATTCTAGTTATCGTGGAATATTAGTGTATCAGATCAATGTGATTTGATAAGTATCGGCAAAACTGAAAGTGCGTTGAATTTTCTCATGAGAAAACGTGAATTATACCCTCGAAAAGAAGAAGTAAACAATGTTCTGACAGCTAATCACACTTAGACACTTGTTTTGTAGCTTACCTTGCTTGCCTGACCTGATGAAAACAAATCCAGGAATTCTGACAAGAAAAGCGATTCCGTCTGTCGCTGACATATGCTTTGGCCACCATAGAGGTGACAGTACGACTTTGACTAACTCCGTCTCAATTTTGATCAACGATTGGAGAACAATTTTGATGGAAGCCCGAAGCAGGGGTTTAATGATCTTCCATCCCTCTTCCTTTACCATCAAATCACTCAAAGGGACTTTCTACTTCCCGTGTATTTTGAGTGCCCTCATGCCGCACAGACACTAACAAATATCCGTGCCTTGTTTAATTTTTGAATCCGAGCCCAAAGAATAGTACAGCATTCAGGAGCTCTAACCAATCAGGGCGGCTTTGGATATTTAATTATAATTTTGACTTTCGATCTGAAAAAATTACTCGTAAACTTCTTTCATTAGTAAGATGGATGTCTTTGAACAATTTTACAGTAACAAAAATATTCCTTCTTTAGTTAATGATACTAATTTTCCAATCTATATCTTCCCAATGCATTCATATTTCTAATAATATGTTACCTACTATTAGCATTTGCTTTCTTTGAGTTGTTATTTAAAGATGGTAGATACAATATGCGCCTCACTACATTATTCCCTTTCTAACCAAATGTATTCCGCTGTACCGCAATCTTCGTCCCTGTTCTTAAAGTTATCCAAAATGACAAACCGCCCATTAATATCTGATATTTCTGGTTCGATTGCAGGTTTAACATTCGCTTATATGTTTAGTTATACAACTTACTTTTGGGGTTGTAACTAAATATTAATATAGTATTGCTTAAGAAATTTGAATTAAACTTTATGACAGACTTCTGAAACTATGACTGTAATTTTTTATTTTTAAATAAAATAAAATGGCCAGCATTTAATTCAATCTCTTATTTGTAGTTTCCACCTTGATTTCAGACCGCGTTCGCTATAAATTAAACATGTAAAGGTATCGGTAGAGAGAAGGAACGATAAGATTTGATTTTTAGTATGGAAATAAAATGTGTAGGAGGATTTTGAAAATATATCCGAGCGCATGTAATAGGTATAGGTAAATAAAATTCAAGTATTGGGGTGGGGAACATTTCTTTATTAATCATGCAAAGCATCTAAATACAATACAAAATCCATTCAAGAACCTGACTAATAATATTTTTTAAGAAAGATTAGAAGTATGTTTCGGAGGAATAAGCTTGATTGTTCTTTCTGTATGTTTTTCAATTACAGTGTTGGAGCAAGTATATCAGCTTATTACTATTTTCATCGTTTAGATGATTTTTAAAACACTTTTAATTTTGGTACTCTTCTAATTAAATTTTAACAAGAATACAACTATTTTTAATTCATTGCAAATATCTTATATTTTTCTTGGAAGTTTCATAGATTTCTTTCAAACAAAAATTCAAAGTAGACAGTAGTTTTGCACTCGTCTTTTTGTCCGCAAGGCGAAAACTCATATGGGAAGGTACGGTAAACAGAAAAAGTGCAATTTTAGTATAAGAGTAAATATACGAGTAATTTCGTAGAATTTGATATGAATTTTTAAAGGCCAGATAAAAAGCAGATTTAAAAAAAAGGAATCAAATAAAGTCCAGACTGTATTTTAAAAATATATAATTATGGGCTTGAGTCAGATAGAGATGACGAAAGACAGTAAAAGATGCACAGCTTGGTTTCTGGCTACATTTAACTGAAAACGAAAAGCAGAGTGAAAAATCTGGAACTAAAATAAGAAAACCCACCAAAGATAGAAAAACATTTTTTGTAACTTTTATTTTAATGTACGTAGTATATATATTTAATTAAAGTTTAAATATTCACCTGTTCTTACGAAGCATTCTCGTCAGCAAGTGCCGTTAGTCCAAACCTGTGGATGACAAAAAACAAATTATGAGTACATATCTGAAATCGGCAGACCTTAAATACATAAATAAAAACTTTATTTTTTCTGTTACAAGATTTTGTTGACTAGTATCAATGTACTCGCTCGCGTAGACGGAACTGAAGAATGATGTTTTAACACATAGTTTAAGCAAATCGCAAGAGATGGTGCCACTACACATGATTTGACAAACTTTAAGAGATTAACAGACACCAAAGTTTCTAAAAGAAAGAATTTCTTTGACAAATTTAAGACTTTCTTTTTTCCCCCATATCGGAATTTTATACCATTTTCCTGTTCACCGTTTGAAATCAAATGAGTTAAAATATTTTAAATACAATCGAAAACATAAAAGCTCCATTTCAAGTCATATAGCATACGTAACATGTATTTATCTTTATTTTCAGAATATAAGAAATAAAATTCTGTAAAATTTTGTTTAAACTCATTGACAATACTTAAAGCTATACTTCTGAAGCAGCAACCTGTTTAGC